ATGTAGATTATTTTATTACAAGTTTCAATTTTATAAAATTTTACAGTCATAGATCCTGACTCACAAACAACAATAATTATACATTAAATTTAACTTACTAGAAAAGAAAATATATTTTTTATAAAGTTTTAATGTTAGATAAAGAGTTGCTACTGTCATTTATTTTGTTGAACCCCAATTGTAAATATTTTTTATAGGACGCTGAAAGCTTAGAACAGTGGCAGCATATATATCGTTCCTAGTGCCGCTAAAGTACTTTCTAGAGATGATGCTGTTCTATACTTTTTAGAAGATATTATCAAATATTATGAGACTATTTTTACTGATGGTACTGTTAGCAAAATAAAAAGAGGAAAGCTGAAATTAAAAGATGGGGTAATACCTTGTACATTCCCAAATCTCCCTTTATATTTGTATAACAGCATTAAAAAATCTGTTAACTGTGTTTTATTTGGCTCTTAAAACGGTATATAGGTTCAATTCAAAAAAAAATTGCTAGAAAATTGTACTCAAATTTCAGCATTTAACAAACCTTTTCGAATTTGGTCATACCTAACTAATTTGTATTTTATATAGATAAAATTAAATAATTACTGAGGCCCTTTCTATGGGGCCTCAGTATTGCATTCGTGCAGACGAAAAAAATTTTCTTATTCCCATTTTTTTAAAACTTTTTTTCATGTTTCGAAAATGCAAGAAATACATTTTCGTCTGGTCATCTGTGTGTATGTATGTCGGCACGATAACTCTAGAACGAAAGTTCTGATTGACTTGCGGTTTTGATTTTCTTGAATAATTTCTTCTAACTTAGAACCCTATTGATTTTCAGAATTTTCGGTTCATCCTAACTACTTTAAAATTAATTTTCTTAAAATTCACCTATGCAATTCTTATGTAACAAATTTAGAAATTCCATTTATTTTTAACGTCATTCCATAAATTGCATTCTCTAACGACCTGTCAAACAACAGCTGTTGATAGTAAAGGTGAAATTTCTAAGGCAGGTTGCGACCTTCATATATGCAACCATAGCCATTTTGGAGGCTATTTTTATTCGAAGTTAGTCGCCAAGCCTGCCAATTTATGAATAATAAGCAGTTTCTTAAAAATGACTTTTTTATAATGGTGCTAACTTAAGCGTACTAGCCACAAAAACATCTTCATATAATTCACTGGCTCTTTGTCGCAACCCCATAGAATAATTAACCGGCCGTTTTATTTGGCAAAAATCAGAATAATACTTGGCTGTGCCTGTCAAGTATCAAGATGTCAACTGTGATATGTGAATGGCTTTTAAATCTCAAATTATTTAAAAATGTATATTTCTTTCGATATTTATTGCAAAAATTTGTAGTGTATTTCAATTTAAGCATTCCATAAATAAAGGTACAGCAGGACAGATAATAATGTTCTTATACAAAGCACTTTTTTATTATATAAAAGAGAGGTAGGATATAATGCTTTTTTTTTAGATAATTTTAATTATACGATTTGGGATTATATATTCGACCAGCGAATTGTAAATAATAATTAGTAAACTCTCAAGTCATAAATTTCCTTAATTCATAAAATTTAAAAATGAATCTTCTTACCTTGGGATTTTAAAGACGTAATGTGATCAACCCATTTCAAATTTTGATTAATTATGATACCGAGGTATTTTGTTGTGTTTTTCATTTTAATTATAAAGTTGTCATTTATTTGTATGTTGACAGAAGGCCTTTGTAAGATACATTGCTCTCTATGGATCTACTTTAACACAAAAAAACTTTTGTGGCTATAAGTTGCTATAACCTATCGTCGCAAAACTATTAATAATTTAAACATAGTAAGTAGTATTAATGTAACATCAAGTAATTTTTTAAAATAAAGTACATGATTTATACTAAATGCGGGTAAAACGAGGGGTAAAATAACAATAAATTAAGTGAAATACTTAAAAAATGCAAGTTTAAAGAGTATTATCACATGAAAGTATATCCGTTCTGTTTATTTATCAAGTATTGTTTGAGGTTACTTTTGAATACATTTATTGTTGTTTTTTTTTTTATTTCTGTAGGCAGTCTATTAAATTTTTTAAACCTTTAATAGAAATTTTATTTTGGGAACTTTTAGTGATGGCTTGCAGTACATGAAAGTCAGATTGGCTTCTTGTATTATAGTTGTGATATTGCGAATTTTTTCTAATAGATCTGAGGCGATGATATTATAAATAAATATCAGTCATGTACTGAATATAATTCTGAATTAAAAGTTAATTTATTTATTTTAACATAGTTGCAATACTCATCCTTCTGTCCTTTATTAATAAAATATAAATAGGCTAAGTAAGGAGCCCAAATATTTTACATGAGCAGGCTTAAGAGGTAAAGGGGCCAATTATTATTGGATAAATTGCTCAAACAAGTTTTTAAACCCTAATCAAAAGGCGATATAGAATGGTTTTAAAAATCAAGACTTGTTTTACCCTTGTGGGCCTCAGTCTCAATAAGGTGGGAACCACCATTTTAGCGTCTCTCAAATTTATCAGTTAAAACATGCAAGACTTATTTAGAAATACATACAAAAGTATGTTCTGTGCTTTATTTAGCTATAAAAAAGTTTATTTTTATAATTTTGACAAAATATAATTCCCATAAGAAGCCATGTATTTTGAACACCGTAAGCAGCACCAGCGCCCATCCGGTTAATCATAAAAGCTCAATTAGCGTACGTTTTTTGGGACCGTATTTTGAGTATGCCATTTCGCCTCCTTATCTCTAGTCTTCGTATTCAAGTCACTTATCAATCTCTCTATTAATTGATTGTGAAACTATAATATTAGGCTCGTTACAAGTCACATACTTTGATTACTATATGAGGCAAAAGAGAGGTCCGACACGCCCAACATAGGGCGCAGCCATTTTGAACCCTGTGACACAGTTTACAGCTAAAGAATCAGATCGCTCACTCTGCGTCGGCACTTTTGATCTCAATGTTTCAGTTTATACACTGTGCAACTCGGTTAATACAATATATGACAATCGCCTATAATAAAACAGCAGTCTTCTGCGTATCCTGAATTTGTATCCCTGGAGTGGATGTTATTTTGGAACTTTCAACTGGTCCGAGTGAGCTAACTGATTTTTTAGCAATAAACTGTGACTTCAAAAAAAATATTCGCTGACACTGACAGCAGCAAGCAAGATATCAGGTGCGTTTTAATCATCCGCTTCTGCTTCCGGAATTGTCGGTTTAGTCGTTTTAACCTGTCAGATTAAAACAAGAAAACCGACAATTCCGAAGCAGAAGCGGATGATTAAAACGCACCTATTAAAAATATTGCGCCAAGATGTAGGCAACACGTAATAAGGGTTCAAAATGGCGGAGTTTTCTATCTCCTTTTTAAAGGCACTCAGAAAGCTGCGCAGTACGACCATTCTCCGTATAGTAAAAGAAAATCAAAGTATATGTTACAAGTTCTAAGCATTACAGGTGTATCAACCTCTAAATGAAAAAAGGAAAATTAACAACTGTCGCTTTAATTATGTCAAAAATTCAAGACGTATAGAAAGTTAATTTAAATTATATTTATTTATAATTTTTAAAATTGAAGGGTCAAATATATTAGAGATGAATGTAATCCTGGCAGAAATAAACTGCAAAATCTTATATTTTATTTTATATTATTTGGAATAAGTATAACAGTATTACAGTTTTTAAATTATACATTTAGGAAATTTATTATTAATTAAAGGCCAGGTAGAATGTGTCACGGACAAAAATCTACATGATGAATGTTAAAAAAAATGATTTTTCATGATGGATGTGAACAATTACATTAAACGTGATATATACCCATAATGCATATTTCGCAGCTGCCAGACTCGACAGAAGCGCTTAGGGTATGAACTTCGGAATAGTGGAAGCGACTATAATAATAACTACTAACTAGGGCCTCGCATCGTTAGTCACCCGTCACTGCCAGTACAAGTTATGTCTTTAATCACAATTTAGTAGACAATACCACATAAAGAAATATGACTTGTCTTATCAAAATGTTATTTTTAGCAAGAGTATTTAGAGGATTATCCTATTTTTCTTTTTAAATTTAATTTGTGTGTAAATGCGTTTTTTCAATTATTATCAACAATTACAGCAACTTATTCCTGTAATAGTTTTGCTGTAATCATCGGCAAAAAGATAGGTAGGTATAGCACTAGTAGAAGTTGGAAAGATTCGCGTATCAGGGACAACACCAATCATTTAAAGTGCGCATGTCGTTCGCGTTTTATTTTTACATCGGTCTCTTTTTGACAGAGTAGGTGAACTGTGTTCAGGCCGTTGGTGTTTATGCTTGTCGGCGTAGCCAGGTATGGATTAAAATTTTCTGCAAAAAGTCGTTGCTTTATCTTATTGTTGTTACGGCATTATTATTATTATTATTATTATTATTATTATTTGTTCATGTATGTGAAATTTGCTTCTAAGGTTTATAAAATACTACTTCTAGTCACGGCGTAAATGAAAACAAACACGACGCATTTACACAAACACCTCCCACCACAGCAATTACAAATGATTAGTGTTGTCCCCGATACGCGAGTGTTGGAAAGGCTTTTGGTAGGTAGAGAGAGGGTAAACGTCAAACCAAGTCGGACAGCTTCGAGAATTTCGCAGTGATGTTTACTTACCAGTGTCGTTTCATAGAATAAGTAATTTTAAGGGCGGGGTAAGGGTTTTTACTTTCAAAAAATCGATTTTTTTTTGTTTTATCTTATTGTTTAATATTTCAAGAATATGTCCTTAAAATTTTAAGCCGATATAAGCAATATTCTTAAAGTTATTGTCTTATTAATCTCCTGACCTTTAACGCTATAACTCTAACAGTTGCGGGCGGTCGAGATAGCAGTTGTATGTATACTATACACTACAATATTTTAAAAGAAGAAACGAGCGTCAGTTTGTCGTTAGATGTTCGACCGTGCGTATAATTTTCTCAAAAAATTTCCTGTACAAAAATGCCGAGAGTAAGCAAAATTTCGAGAGAAGACCGACAAAGTGGAAGCACTTATTTTGTAGATCAAAAAAAAAGGTTTAATCCGAATAAAATAATTAAAGATGAGGCTACCACAAAAAGTGCTTCATCGAAGAAAATCAAAAATGCCAGTGCAAGTGCACCAGAAGACGTTGAAAAACATTACAGGATCATCGATTTTTTGCTTGTTTTTTCAACCATCGCAAGTTTAGTGAAATGTGCTCAGTGTGATAGTTCAATTGAGTTCAAAAGCTGCAAAAAAGAAGGCCTTGGCTTCCAAATCCAAGTCAAATGTGCCAATTGTGATCCACACTTTATACCGTCGAGTGAGAAAACTGGTCCTCGCTATGAAATCAACACTCGTTTTGCCTTTGTAATGCGTATATTAGGTTTGGGTTTAGCAGGCTGCAATAAATTTTGCGGGCTCATGGACATGGCAAGTAGTTTTTTATCTAAACCATCTTATTTGGATTTCATGAAATCAATTAGCTGCAGCATCAAAACGACTGCTGAAAAATTTCTTGCTTCCGCCGCAGATGAAGAAAAACAGCAAACACGTGCAAATTAGGAGTCAGACACTTTGACCGTTTCTGGTGACGGCACGTGGCAGAAGCAAGGCTTCAGCTCTTCCTTTGGCCTCACTTCCTTGATTGGATATTGGTCTGGAAAATTTATCGATATTTTTATAAGTAGTTCGCACTGTCAGGCTTGCAAATTATGGAGAAAGCAATTAAATACTAATGAATTTGAAGAGTGGTACCAAGAACATGTTGAAAATGATGAATGCCAAGCCAATCACACCGGACCATCAGGTAATATGGAAGTTAATGCTGTTATCGAATTGTTCGGCCGATCAGTAAAAAATTACGGAGCAAAGATCAGCAACTATATCGGAGACGGTGACAGTAAAACTTACGGCGATTTAGTGAAAGCTAAACCTTATGGTAAAAATTTCACTATAAATAAAGAAGAATGTGTAGGTCACGTGCAAAAAAGGATGCGTAAACGTCTACGTGATCTAGTAAATAAAACTGTAGAAAATAAAGTTGTAAAAACCGGAAAAAATGCTGGTAAAACAAGGCAAAGTAAGTTACTCGGCGGCAAAGGAAAGCTCACTGGAAAAGTCATTGATAATTTGAGTCGATACTACGGATCAGCAATCAGACATAATTGTGATTCGCTGGAAGGAATGAAAAATGCAATCTGGGCAACGTTCTACCACCAGCAGTCAACAGACGATAACCCTCAACACCATAAGTGCATGAGCGATGAGAACTCGTGGTGTCCATATCAAAAAGCTTTGGCCACAACAGGAGTGGAAAATTTCAAACATGACTACATTTCACTTCCAGAAGATGTCATACAAGCGATCAAACCGATTTATGAAGATTTGAGTAAAGACGAACTTCTAGAAAGGTGTCTTGGAGGCTTTACTCAAAATGCCAATAAAAGTTTGAACCAGCTGATTTGGAGAATTGCACCGAAAAAATTATCTGGCAACAGACAAATTGTTGAATTTGCATCTTATGTAGCTGCATGCACTTTCAATGAAGGTGCTGGTGCTTTCCTAACTTTTCTGTGTGACATAAACGTCAGCGTCGGCCCAAGCGCTAATGAGTATGCGACATTCGCGGAATAATTCTGCATGAAAAAACTACACAATATTTTCAAAAGTATGCTGAATAATGTACAAAAGGTTCGAATGAAATTGCTCAATCCATATTTGAGAAAAAAAATCGCAAAAAAGTGTTTTTTTCTACGCTGAAACCCTTAACCCGCCCTTAAATTGTTACCGGCGAAACCAGACAATCGCATGTATTTATGGACTATAAATAATTATTAAACATGTATAATAATACTCAAATCATAATTTTACAAAATTTTAACAGCTATTCACAATTTATTAAACTATTTACTCGAAATTGTTATTAACATCTATAAAATAATTTTGTACGCCAATGTATCGTGCGCACTTCGGTTAGATCTGCCGCTAACCTGTCAATTTATGTGTATAAAGTGGGAGAACTGGCAAAAGCCTTTCCAACTTCTACCCCTGCTATACTTACGCTCACCCCAAAATGTAATACTAAAACGTCGTAAGAGACAAAAATTTAAGCTTTTCTTATAAATTGAGTTATTTTAAATCAGACAACCAATTTATACGGCATGTCATAAATTAATTATAAAGGAAAATTAATAAAAAAGTTAACTTTCTAAAAGTTCTGGATTGGGCGTAACAACAACCTTTCTTCATGAAAGCTTGGTGCTTATAGCTGCTTAAACCTACATTTTATGCAAATTGAGTTGTCAATTACAAAGCTTTTAGGGCTGTTCGTCTTAGTATTAGAATTTAAGTTCCTTACACACCTTTTTGTCGTGACATTGTACTTGTAATGAGTCTAAGTTCAAATATCAATATAATAAGTTAATTTGTTATAGTGAACATTTCCTTGAATTTATTTTTGTACATTTTGCTATCCACTTTGATCTTCTTAAAGAAAATACAGAAGAACTCTCGAATTGTTTTTAGATTAACACCATGGATTTTATGCTGACAAGAATAGACCTACGAATAATTTTATAAGATTGGATTAAGTTTTTAAAATAAATGAAATTTTCATTTTATATTACCACGTAAAAAGCAGTATGTTACGTTTTTGTTTTTGAATATGAAAAGTATCTAGTTTATTTACACTTGAATAGTAGCATGATGCAGCGCTAAGTGAAATGAATAAGCATTAAGTGCCTAATTTACTAAATTTTGAAATATAATACACAAAAATATTGTTGATTATTAATATTAAAACATACATAATATGACTTGAGACACAGAGGTTATTTACTGAAACTCTCAGATTGGAAGAGGTTATTTACTTAATCTCCGCCCCTTATGGGTCTTATGAGATTGCTTAACTTATAGTTAAGTCTTGTTTTTCTGTTTTAGTTCTAGTCAACCGATGTATTGTGTCCCCACCGTTGAGTCTACGTTAAAACTGTTGATCTCAGGAGTGTAAGACCTTCTGGGTGAACCCTTAAAATATAACAAAATGTGTCAATATAAATTGACTCAAGTATAATTAATTACCCCAAATGTATATATGCTAGAAACTATTAAGTACTTAGGATCAATAAAAAATTACAATGGCTCAACAAGAGTCATAAACAGCATTATGAACTCAAATAATTAAAATTTTTGTAAACAAGCCATAACATAAAAGAAATCGACAATCAAAAGGTGCACTTTATTACAAAACATACCTTTTTCGTAAAGGGTTATCCTGGGTAGCCTTCCAAGTGTAAAGAAAAACAGCAATCACTATTGAAGAATCCACTTCAATATTACACACTCAAATGCCGATGAGTCTCCAATTTTTATGTCTATAAATCCCTTTAACATGTGTGGAATAGGTCAAAAAACATAGGAATTCAACTTAACATTACAATTCCCCAGAAATATCATAAATCGGTTCTTCCACAATTAATCTGGTTATATAAAATATAGATTTCACTCCTTGACAAAACTTGGAGTTGCCTTCTTCTTTACCTGTCAACCAGCACCTAACTAATAAAAATGGCACGATGCCTTTACTTTACTTCCGCCTTGAAAAATTAGAAGCCGAGTTTCAGAAATTCATTCTAAATAATTTATCAGCATATATCTTAGAGACTATTTACAAAAGATTACCCTAACAAACTATATCTATATACAAGATAACTACATTTGGAAATTGCTCCTGAAAAAATCGATACAAAACCGATCGCGAAAAATCTCCTAAGCGCCTACAAACCTACAGTTAAACGAACGCACCTCGTATAGCGAGTCGCGACTTCAAGTTGCTAACTGTGAAGTTTCCATCACCTGGAAGTCAGAACCAGACTGAACGACATACAACACATGACACTGTCAACTATCGTGTTCCGTCGTCGTCTGACATTTAACCTTAAATCGTTCTCGAGCTGTCAAAATCCCCAAAACAATAATATTTAATTAAAATAATTACTTTCAACAAGAATTAAACAAATTCGATGAAATTGTCATCGTTAATAATTAATGTGCTAGATGTAAGGTTATAATACATAATATATAAGTAAACTAGCAACGACACTGTTTATTTTTAGGCGAATCTAACAACCTGTAGCAAGCCAGTTTTAAATAAAACCATACTGCAAATAGGATCATTTTTCAATGTATTCTACTATGGATAAAATACCATCCTCCTACCTACTGATGCGTTTATTTTTAGGCGAATCTAACAACCTGAAGCAAGCCAGTTTTAAATAAAACCATACTGCAAATAGGATCATTGTTCAATGTATTCTACTATGGATAAAATACCATCCTCCTACCTATTGATGAGTTGAATTAAATTATAATAATGATATTTGAAGGCTAACAATACATACAGCCAGTTTACATAAAAAATAATGGCTTTAAAAGCTTATCAACGATAAATAACCTATTACCTTTTTTTGTACATTTAAATAAGGCGAGTCGAATTTTTCCCTAGTTATTTGAGCGGCTAAAAATGCACGTTGCAGATTTACAGGGTGATTCATTAAGGTTGGCGACCGGCCGTATCTCAGAATATCTTAAAGTAATGTTTTTTTTTTAAAGAAACGCAGAAACAAGTCGATTTTTATTTCAAGGGAGACAGCTTTCTATAAGATCCTTTACTGTCATAATATGTCTTTCCTCTTCCCCTCAATCGAACCAATACAATTTAAACAGGAAAAGTACAAAGTATATCACATCGTCGGAAATATAATTTTGTGGGTAATTCAGCAATTCATTGCGTTCCTTTTAATTGTAGTGCTCTCTAGCGGGATAATAAATTATTACATATGGTGTGATATTTCATTTGAAAGCTAATTTTATTAGTAATCCAATGCACCACATAACATTCACCTAGATATCTCCATATTGCACTTGTAACAAAGTAAATTTAGTAATAATGCATCGTTTTTTCCTTTTAAGTTCATTTTTGATTTAGTAAACATAATAGGTTTGTTCGTAGAGACAGTTTCCAATGGTTGGTGATTTATTGTCATTTTTATGCTCTGCGAACGCATTGTATACGGTTGTGGATTTTTCTCTACCTATTCTCTTGAGTTAGATACAGATTTAGTAAACGGACAAAAAAATAATAAATTATTTGAAGTTTGACGTAGGTATGTCACAGAATAATCAAGTATGTGTTTTGTTCATGAAATGCACCCCATTTTATAAATATTTTTTACTTTTATTACCCGTTTTGGAGTTAAATACATAAACAGACATGAACTTCAAGCCAAACAAATGTCAAATTGTAGGTTATCACAAATATTACATGTGCCCCGAAAATCCGAAAAATAGTCAGTGTTTTTTCAAGCATTTCCAATCAGTTGGCAATCACTTCATTTGTTTCTACGAACGCCAAACTAATAATTGAAAACTATTAATGATTCTTCTACGAACGCAAAATATTCAATACGCATGCGCTGTTTAGTTGAAAACGGTTATGGATCGCTCTACGAACAAACCTATTATTACCTAGTACATTAAATTTCTAATAAAATTAGCTTTTAAATGAAGTGTCACACATTACCACAGGTAATAATTTTTTATCTCGCTAGAGGGCGCTAAAATTAAAATAAACTCAATGAACAGGCTGAATGCCCCATAAAATTACCTTTCCGACGATGTGACATACTTGGTACTTTCCCTATTTAAATTGTATTAATTAGATTGACGTAGGGGGGAGGAATGACATATGACAGTTAAGGATATTATAAAAAGGTGTCCCCCTTGAAATAAAAATCGACCTTTTTTTAAACGTTTCTTTTAATAAAAAATCTACCTCAAGATATTCTGAGATACGGCCGGTCGCCACCCTTAATGAATCACCCTGTATGTAATAGAATATAAATGATACCAACAGTTTTTTGAATCTTCTGTACACTTGTAGTCGTGTATATATTAAAATTATAGAATAGATAGATAATGAGATTGATCTCTCCAATTCCTAGAACGCTTAAAAAAAAATAGCATTCTAAAAGATAATTTTAGTTAAGAAACTTCTGGAAAATTTTTATTTTAACCCTTAAGTACCATGGTGGGGTCAAATTTGACACCACAGATTTTGCACAGTAAATTTTGCATGTTAAGAATTGAAAGCGGTACGCCGCCCTCTATCTAATCCTTAATCGGTTGCTGGACTATCGATGCGCTGGAACGCCTTTAGTTTAGATTTAGTCTCCGAGGAGTTATCGGCATATAGGGTCAAATTTGACCCGCTCATGTTTTAAGTGTTACAAAATCGAGTTGCGCTAACAGTGAAAAATGGCCGGTTGTTATCGTGATAAAAAGTCTTTAACACAACAAGAGCTTGAACAAGACGCTCAAAGGATTATGGACTACGGATTAGATAGAGATGAAGAATTTTCTAACCAAGAAAGTGAACATAGCAGCCACCAAACCGACTCTGAACAAGAAATTAGGCATTCCAAACAAATGAATTACCAGTGGGCAGGTTTGGTATATCTAAGGGTGGCGACATATGGTGTATTCTATCTACTTTACGTTAAATCATGAATAATGGATTACATTTAAATATTTTATGTCAAACACAATTAAAATAATATTTAAAAAACCCACGTATA